ATGGGGGCATTATAATGTGACGGTCAATCCCACTATTCATTGGTAAAAGAGTTGGCAGTGGGTGATGATGACTAGCTGCCTTCCCTCTAGTCTTGCACTGCAAAATTAGGGACAGCTAGTGCAGATAGACCTCGTGTAGCTTTACGTGAAATTGAAAAACAAACAAACAAGTTCTCTTTTATGTTTAATACTATATTATTTGAAACTCTTAGAAATTCTAAAGTTTTAATGTATCAAATATTATTTTATTTTCTGTATAGAGAATTGTCTATTTTGCCTCCAGTCGAAACATGGGAAACACATCATTGAGCTTAACTGAATTTTTAACAGCTCTTATTGCATAGTTATAAAGCCAGAAAAATTATGATAGTTATAGAGTATTGTCTGCTTTTGCTTGTTATTATTCTATGATCTTGGGTGCATTATTTAATCAAATAAAAAATTATTTAATATAGTAGTACCATTAGTATATAAAAAAATAAGGTTAAGTTTCATCGCCAGTAGACAGCAAAAAAAAAGAAGACCCAGGTAAGTACTCTATTTCTTGTTTTTCATGTGTATTATTTATTTATTATTATTATAAAAGTAACTAAAATGTAAAAATTAGAAACTTGTTAGGTAAGATAAAGAAAAATAATTATTCATGAGGTATGCTTGGGAGCAGCTGATGTTAAGTAATTCAATAGTGTACTGTAAACTACACATTCATTGAGTGGTTTACAAGTTTATAACCTGTGGTGGGATTAAAGGGTAATAAAACAATAAAATTTAAGTATAAACAGATTTATACTGTTACAAGCTTTAAGCAATTTAGTTAAACAAATATAGTTTCCTGTTACAAGTTGTAATCATTCTAGAAAGAAAAAAAAAAGAATAATTTAGATTTATTTCTTATATTTTGTGTTGGGTACAAGGTTGGTATAATTGACTGAATGCATTTAGAGTTAGAATAAAGAAAATAACAGATAAAATTTTAAGTTTTGCTGAAAAAATGTTTGAAATTAGATTTAGAGATTATGCAAATGAAATTTGACAGTTTACAGATGAAGAAAAGTATTTTTAATCTTAACATGAAAATCACTTTGCACTAGGACTAGTAAAAAAAAAGACTCGATAATCTTGATAAATCTAGTAAAAATATTTCATTAAAAATTCTGATTTTTTGTCTACAAAAACTTGTAGTATTTACATGAAAGCTTGCAAAATTGTGTGAAGATATACAAAACATGTTAAAAGTTATAGTATGAAAACTCCAAAGGTCAATTTGGGGTCATGAACTTGGTCGAATCAACCAAGCCTGTAATAAGAAAGTTGAAAATGTTGTTATACAGAATTGCATGAAAAAAATCATTTTTCTTTGCCAGTGACAAAACCTTCAATACAATTTATTTCTCCTGTTAGTCATCAACCAGCTATTTGACATTAAAATTCCTCATGTTAAGTACCAATTTTAAGAACCTTTTGATGAAAGGTAAAAAGAATATGTAATAATATGTCTGCCACACTACATATCCCTTATTCAGTACTGATGGGGCTTTTGCTCAATACTACCATGGCCTATCAGACTGGATGGGAAAGGACAGACATAGTAGTGGTCAATGCACTATCTATATCATCATCAACGTTCATGAATAATGACTTATAGTGTGAACTAGATTAAGTAAGTGAAGTGTAATTATTATCACTTTCATTTAAGTCATTTACAAATCAGAATCAAGGTAAGGATTATTAAAATAGTATTATTTATTTAATTTTTAACACTTATTGCCCCCAGTGGCACAGCAGTATGTCTGCGGACTTACAACTCTAGAAACCGGGTTTCGATACTCGTGGTTGGCAGAGCACAGATAGCCCATTATGTAGCTTTGGGCTTAACTTCAAACAAAACAAAAACTTATTGTTTATTAATTTTATTTTACTTGAATTGGTTTTATCTTCTTTCAGAAGAATTGCCAAATCAACAAGCTAGTCTTTTTGTTATTGGAGCAAGTCGATCAACCACAGGGTCAATGAGAGAAAACTACATTAGTAATTCTAAGAACTTATAGGTGAAAGCAAAAAAAATAACATGTAACAATATGTCAACCACACTATATCACATCTGTTATCAGCAAGGCCTGTCACTCAGTACTGGGACTCATTACAATGCCTGGAATAACAATGACATAGTAGTGGCCTAGGCAATATATATATATATATATATATCATCAATTACATGAAACTAAGGCATGTTTTTAGGAAAATGTTAATAAGACTGCTCTGACCATCCATATCAAATAGTGATTCATCATAAAAATGAAACTGAAAATATTAGTAGCTGATGTAAATTAAGCTAAGTTCACTCTTTAAGCATTTAATGGTGTATTATATATATGTATCTACGTCAGTGAGAACAAATGTTGCAGATTGTTTTCATGTAAACAAATGGTTTCTGTTCTTTTTAATGTGTGTGAACAGTTTTTCAATATTTGCATCAATACTCTATGCATCAGATATATTTCCATTAAAACTTGTTTGATATTTGAACATCAAGCTCTATATACTAGAAGGAATTAGACTCCAGATAGTATATTTTGTATATTATTAGTTAGTTATATATAAATATGATTTTTATAACTTCCAATTTAATCAGGTAAAAAAAAATGTTTTCAGACTAGTACTCCACTTACCCATTGAGATTTATTTGAATCATAAATTTTAAAGTGTTATGCAATAGTGTTTATAAACTGTAATATGATGACTTGCTGAGAGTTAGTTAAAAATTGTACTGTTTCATTGAAGCTCAAATAACAAGAAGCAGTTGTTTTTTATCTTATAGAGCCAATGAATGAGAATTGTTGTGTTTAAAAAACTAATGATGTCTGGTCTATTTGCAGGTCAAATAGATGTTACAAATGCTTGTATGGTAATAGAAGAAAAAGACTTTGATGTTGCCTTACAGAATCTAACTCCATCAGTATCTCTAGAAGAACTGAAGAAGTACCAGAACATAAAACTCTGATGCTGTCATTTTGTCACCACCATTTCAAAGTTAACATCTACTGAACTTTAATTTTTTTCAAGTGATTTGGATGGCAGAATTAGTATTACTAGTGATAATTGAGTTAAAATGTTAAAAACCCTGTGATTAAAAAAAAGAAAGAAAATGTAATCTTTCATCAATGCACAAGAAAATGTTGATCATGAGAAAAGGTTTATTATATTTTATTGCATTAAATAAAGAATAATTTTATCAGTTATGTTTTCTAAAATGAGCTGGACAGTTTGTGAAATTTTGAATTGTGTTAAAAACATATAAAGGGTATATTGAGTAGTGAAGGTAGTTTTTAATGTTACTTAGCACTTAAATTTATTGAAATTATTCAAGGTATGAGAAGGAAAATTTGAATTTGATTTGCTGGATGCATTGTAGTTGGATAACAAACAACTTATTACCTGAATTGAAAATAAACATTTAACATTTATTCATAATTTTTCAAATAAAATATATCTTGAATATGATAAACACATAAAAAATGTACAAGAAAACTAAAAGTTTTAGTTCTTTGAAGGTGTGTTATGTTTGTGATAATTCGTAATGCTTTATTCAGATACTAAACTAATGGCCAATAAAAAACAAATTATTGATTTAAATTCTTAATAGTATTAATTTTTCTGATATATTAGTGTTAAAGTTTATTGGAGGTAATGTATATCTGTATATGTTTAAACAGGTGTAAGTAAGTGTACATATTGCAGTTTAAAAACACTTAATATTTTATTATAAAAGTAGTTGTTAAAGAAGAGTGAAAGTTGACCAGAGCTTGATATAATTATGTGGATGATGAAATTTAGTTAAAGCAACAAATAGTATAATATTAGATTCATACACTGTATGATTGAATGACCTTACAGGTGTATTAGAATTTTACAGGTTCCATGTCAATTTACAAATAACATGAGCAGTGTTACTACAGAAATTACCTAACAAATAAGTCTATAGAAGGAACAACTTCACCATTATCAATTCAGAAAAAGCATGAAAAGCATTAATGAATGGCATTATATAATTCAACCATTAATATCCACACATGATATCAATTATACAAAAACAAATAGTAAATCAATCACTAGTAATGAAGGTCACAAAGCTTTTAGGATCTTCTCAGTTAATAATGTTGAAGGTCACAGAGCTGTTGGGTGTTCCTAGTATTATAAACATAATCTACTTGTCACATAGCTGTTGATGTTCATATTGGTATAAACATAAAAATATGTTACATAGCTGTTGGATGTTACTACTGGTATAAACATAAAAAATATGTTACATAGCTGTTGGGTGTTCCTACTGGGTTACTTCCAACACTGATAAGGTCCAAGTCTATACTAGAGGTAACTTTCTAATAACAGTGTGACCTTTATCACTAATAGTTCATCCGAGTAGTTACTGGTGTCACATTTCAAACTAATTAATGATTCATTTCATTACTTGGAAAAGTATCCCAGAGAGTATATGACTTTTGACATGTTAATAAACTCCATTAGTTGTGTGACCTATAAATCTAATGGTTGACTCAACTTCTTAGTGGGTTAAATACCTTTAACACTAATCATAGACTATATATATTACTGGTAATAAAACAATCTCATTGTTATGAAAACTTTTAATTCAAGTGAGTGGCTCATGTGGAATAAGATGACTGGTCCAAGACCATAAGTGGAATATCCCAAAGGCTATGTGACAAAAATGCCCATGTCTAATTTATGTTTGCATTAGTGAGAACACCTTAACAACTACATGGAAGAAAATACTGATAACTTGTTTGTTTATACCAGTAGTAACATCCAATGGCTATATAACATAGTTTTATGTTCATACCAGTAGTAATATCCAATGGCTATATAACATAAGATTATGTTTATACCAGTAGGAACACCCAACAGCTATGTAACATAGTTTTATGTTTATACCAGTAGGAATACCCAACAGCTATGTAACATATTTTATGTTTATATAAAACTACTGGATGTTACCACTGGTATAGACTTGAACTTTATCGGTGTTGGAGGTAGCAAAACTATTGGATGTTACCACTGGTATAGACTTGGACCTTATCATTGTTGGGAGTAACAAAACTATCGGATGTTACCACTAGTATAGACTTGGACCTTATCAGTGTTGGAGGTAACAAAGCTACTGGATGTTACCACTGGTATAGACTTGGACCTTATCAGTGTTGGAGGTAACAAAACCACTGGATGTTACCACTGGTATATACTTGAACCTTACCAGTGTTGGAGGTAACAAAACTGCTGGTATAGCCTTGGACCTTATCAGTGTTGGAGGTAACAAAACTATTGGTATAGACTTGGACCTTATCATTGTTGGGGGTAACAAAACTATTGGATGTTACCACTGGTATATTCTTGAACCATACCAGTGTTGGAGGTAACAAACTATTGGATGTTACCACTGGTATATACTTGGACCTTATCAGTGTTGGAGGTAACAAAACCACTGGATGTTACCACTGATATAGACTTGGATCTTACCAGTGTTGGAGGTAACAAAACCACTGGATGTTACCACTGATATAGACTTGGATCTTACCAGTGTTGGAGGTAACAAAACCACTGGATGTTACCACTGGTATAGACTTGGACCTTATCAGTGTTGGAGGTAACAAAACCATTGGTTGTTACCATTGGCATAGACTTGGACCTTATCATTGTTGGGAGTAACAAAACTATCGGATGTTACCACTGGTATATTCTTGAACCTTACCAGTGTTGGAGGTAACAAACCACTGGATGTTACCACTGGTATAGACTTGGACCTTATCAGTGTTGGAGGTAACAAAACCACTGGATGTTACCACTGATATAGACTCGGATCTTACCAGTGTTGGAGGTAACAAAACCACTGGTATATACTTGGACCTTGTCAGTGTTGGAGGTAACAAAACTACTGGATGTTACCACTGATATATACTTGGACCTTATCAGTGTTGGAGGTAACAAAACCACTGGATGTTACCACTGATATAGACTTGGATCTTACCAGTGTTGGAGGTAACAAAACCACTGGATGTTACCACTGGTATATACTTGGACCTTGTCAGTGTTGGAGGTAACAAAACCACTGGATGTTACAACTGGTATAGACTTGGACCTTATCAGTGTTGGAGGTAACAAAACCACTGGATGTTACCATTGGCATAGACTTGGACCTTATCATTGTTGGGAGTAACAAGACTACTTGATGTTACCACTGATATATACTTGGACCTTATCACTGTTGGAGGTAACAAAACCACTGGTATAGACTTGGACCTTATCAGTGTTGGAGATAAAACCATTGGTTGTTACCATTGGCATAGACTTGGACCTTATCAGTGTTGGAGGTAAAAAAACTACTGTTGTCACCACTGGTATATACTTGAACCATACCAGTGTTGGAGGTAACAAACTATTTGATGTTACCACTGGTATAAACTTGATGACACTTCAGTGTTAGAAGTCACAAAGTTACCAAAATTATATCTGCATTTGTGATCTGAAGCAGTAAAATTACAATTCTCACGTACATGTAGCCGTTGGGGTGCTCTGACTAGTGTAAGTGTAATTAGAGACTTTCAGATCTACTTCTAATCCCTCCCCCCGCATCATGCCTGGTGACCTTCCGTGGACGTTTTAGTCTTCCGCCAAATAGGTAAGAAACCCCCCCCCCCCTCAATTCCCACGAAACTGCCTACCAAGTTTGGTTATACTAGATCCAAAACTGTGGGTGGTGCTCGCGAACAAACAAATACACAATGGGAATTAGTATGGTATATAATTATTTGTCCATAGAGTGTTGCTATAGGAATGTATCACATTTTCATAATTTTACAATTTTATAGTAAATATATTTTTGATAAGGCACGAACAAATTCAATAGTGAGTTTTCTGAATGCAGGTGAAGTGACACATTTTTAGCCGTGGCATAGCGGATCAAAGAATGGCACCGAGTTTCTTTTTAAGTACAAACTTTTAGCTCATAGTTCCATCTTATGACTGATTTCAGATCTAATATTACACCCGCGGTTATTGAGGATCCCTCATGTTTGTCTATGAATTCTTTGTTCTTGTCCCCAAACCTTCTGGATGACAAAATTAAAACAAAAACTCGTTAGTAAGTTGTTTTAGAGAGCGATATTACTTAAAACATGGAATAAAAAATAACCGATGTATCGTTAAGTAGCTTAGGAAGTAATAAAACGTCAGCAACTTCAAGTGTGAGGCAAAAACCTAAAACTCAACTGGGAGAAGCTGTGCTGGATAAACACTGAAACGTCTACATCGTTTAACAAACTACATTTTGTTTGTCCTGAGCACTAATCTAACAATTTTTGGAATGATAAACCTCTATTCTGTATTATTACCAGACAGTTCTTAAAAACAAAATCTTGTTTTACCTGCTCTTTATCGTTGACGCAATATGAATTAAACTATAGCTGAAGTAACAAAAAAAAATACCAGTTACTCTGGTGTATGCAATTAGATTACCCATATATGATTTATTAACCAGTGTATTACAGGTAGAACATGACAAGGTTTATTGTTTCGTTCGTATACAGCCATAGCTTCCTAATTAGCAAGGATATTTGTATTAGACGTATTCGTGTGTCAAGATCAAGTCAACATTGTGTGGGAGTTCAGCCGACGACGCGCCTGGTTATTTTTCGATATATCTGATACCGCACTCTGTAAAGTGAAGAAGTCGAAGCAGGTCAGCCATAATAAAACTAAAGTGGAACGTCAGAGTTAATTAACTCTGCATAATAGTCTCGATGTGTTAAGCAGTCAGAAACCTTGTGGTAGAAAACATTTTAAAAACAATATTGTCTTACTAAAAATATAATTTGTAGAAAGAAAGTCACCACAAATGGTAGTGTAAGGCGGAAAGTTTCGGAGAAGATTTGTTTTGAATTTTGCTCAAAACTACACGAGGGCTATCTGCACTAGCCGTCCCTAATTTAG